GTCTCGGAGTTCCAGGAGCAGGCGGTGCCGGCCTTTCTGAAAGACCTGGCCGTGGCGAGGCCGCATATGAAAGCAACTGAGCCGTGGTTGCTTTATTATCCGCTTAGAGCACGCCGGGCGATGTGAATCGTTTCGACCGAAAAACTTGCACGAGACTGTGTGTGCGGAAGCAAGCGGAAGCTCTGTGGACCAAAGCAACGGCAACAAATCGTACTTAGCACTGGGGATTCACTTCGAGACCAAAACAACGGCAACGAATCGTACATCTAAGCATTGTGGCATCATTTCGACACAAAAGCAACGGCAACAAATCCTACATCTTAGCATTGTGGCACCACTTCGAGACCAAAGCAACGGCAACAAATCGCACATCTTAGCATTTGGGCACCGCTTCGAGACCAAAGCAACGGCTACAAATCGTACATCTTAGCATTGGGGCACCACTTCGAGACTAAAGCAACGGCAACAAATCGTAGGTCTTAGCATTGGGGCACCACTTCGAGACCAAAGCAACGGCAACAAATTGTACATCTTAGCTCTGGGGCACCACTTCGAAATCAAAGCAAAGGCACCAAATCAGACATCTTAGCATTGTGGCATCACTTCGAGACCCAAGCATTGGGGCACCACTACGAGACCAAAGAAACGGCAACAAATCGTGCGTCTTAGCATTGTGGCACCACTTCGAGATCAAAGCAACGGCACGAATTCGTACATGATGCATTGTGGCACCACTTCGAGACCAAAGCAACGGCAACAAATCGCACATCTTAGCATTGGGGCACCACTTCGAGACCAAAGCAACGGCTACAAATCGTACATTTCAGCATTGGGGCACCACTTCGAGACAAAAGCAACGGCTACAAATCGTACATCTTAGCATTGGGGCACCACTGCGAGACCAAAGCAACGGCAACAAATCGCACATCTTAGCATTTGGGCACCACTTCGAGACCAAAGCAACGGCTACGAAACGTACATCTTAGCATTGGGGCACCACTTCGAGACCAAAGCAACGGCAACAAATCGCACATCTTAGCATTTGGGCACCACTTCGAGACCAAAGCAACGGCTACAAATCGTACATCTTAGCATTGGGGCACCACTTCGAAACCAAAGCAACGGCAACAAATCGCACATCTTAGCATTTGGGCACCACTTCGAGACCAAAGCAACGCCTACAAATCGTACATTTCAGCATTGGGGCACCACTTCGAGACCAAAGCAACGGCAACAAATCGCACATCTTAGCATTGGGGCACCACTTCGAGACCAAAGCAACGGCTACAAATCGTACATTTTAGCATTGGGGCACCACTTCGAGACCAAAGCAACGGCAACAAATCGCACATCTTAGCATTTGGGCACCACTTCGAGACCAAAGCAACGGCTACAAATCGTACATCTTAGCATTGGGGCACCCGCAGGATTCAGAGGTACCCATGCTTGTCAGAAGCACGCTCCTTGAGATCAGCATCCCCACCAGGCTTTGTGCTATCAGGTTGTTTCCAGTTCCGTTTACGTGTGTGAAAATCACCTCTGGTCTAGGGCCGTGTTGACGTGTCATTTGTGCAGTGCTTCACATGTAGTACTTGAATCGACCTAGCTTTGAAAGCAGTCGTTTTGCTTGTACATGTTGATAGCTTCTGACTGCAGACGTCTTGCGATCAAGTGCTGAAAAAGCCAGCTACCGTGTGCCGTTGTACTCAAGCCCCTTAGATTCCGCATCAAAACGTGAAATCTTCATGCAAGTCACGTGGAGAAGAGGAATAGCGCATCGGCGGTAGCATGATTATGTGATCATCAGTATCCCCAAAGTTGTTCAGGATGATTGGGGACATGCGTGGAAGCTCCGCAAAGGTCATCGAAGGTCCGCGGAAGCTGAGCGGAAGGTGAATTCCTGGAAGTTGATCCCAAGCCCCGTCATACTGAAGTTGCATTCATCGCGACGGTTTCATTCCTTGCTAAGCAGCATTTCTGCAAGCTCAAAGCTAGAAGCATCACACACAGACCATACCAATTGCAGAAGGGATCCGCGGAAGCGAGAAAATGAAAAGATTGACGCCCGTGGAAGCTAAAGCCTCAGCGCGGAAACAACGCGGAAGGATCCGGCGCAAGGGTTTCCTTTTCGCACACCACACAGACAGGAATAGACACCACGGCTCCATTGACAATTGAGAGCTGGGATGGGCTGGCAACCTTGTTGTTAAGGACAAGGTCCCGCGAGACCTGGCGCCGAACCTGCCCGAGAAGCCAGGAAGAGCCAGTCAAGAGATGTGGTCGTAGGCGGAAGTCATTGATCCCTTCAGGATTAAAGCTCATGTACCTCTGGCGAAGCCTTTGTGGCAAAGTGGAGGGCGAGTGTCATTTTCGACACTTGCACGGGTGAGATCCTGGGCGCGGCAGCATGGGGCCCCACGGCGCAAGGCCTGCACCTGGCCGCAGTCTGCTCGAAGAAGCACTGTGGCATGGGCGAACACGTCCTTGCCATGCTTAAGGACATGGGTGCAGACTCCAAGTCAGTTCAACATAAACCTGTAGATACTCCCGCGTTGACTCTTACCCGCCCACATCCTCACATCCGCATTCGCACCCGTTTGATGTCCATTTTCTGGACATGTGGATCTGGATCCGTTTGCTTTTTGTTTTTGTTCTGTGCATTCTTGAAGCTGGAGTTTGCCAAGCAATGGCCTGCCAGCCGTGTTCTATCTGGACTCAGCTCTTTTGATGTTGCTTCTTGCTTTCCTCCAACGAAGCATGTGGGACTTGCCCCTTTCGTGACGAAGCTGGAGTGTGAAGATCATTCGCCAGCAATGTTATTGTATAATGTGACGGTACGGCATGTGGGACCTACGGACCTACGTTTAAAGGTTTCTTCCGAAGAAGCTGGAGTTTGAAGATGTTTCGCCAGCTTGATATGTTTATTGCATGTGGGCCCTGTCGCGTGAGGGGGTAAGGGTTTCTTCCGAAGAAGCTGGAATTTGAAGATGTTTCGCCAGCTTGATGTTTATTTGAAGTGGGCCCTGCCGCTTGAGGGGGTAAAGGTTTCTTCCGACGAAGCTGGAGTGTGAAGATGTTTCGCCAGCTTGATGCGTTCATTGCATGTGGGTCCTGGCGCTTGAGGGGGTAAAGGTTTCTTCCGACGAAGCTGGAGTTTGAAGATGTTTCGCCAGCTTGGTACGTTTATTGCATGTGGGCCCTGCCGCTTGAGGGGGTAAAGGCTTCTTCCGAAGAAGCTGGAGTTTGAAGATGTTTCGCCAGCTTGATATGTTTATTGCATGTGGGCCCTGTCGCGTGAGGGGGTAAGGGTTTCTTCCGAAGAAGCTGGAATTTGAAGATGTTTCGCCAGCTTGATGCTTATTTGAAGTGGGCCCTGCCGCTTGAGGGGGTAAAGGTTTCTTCCGACGAAGCTGGAGTGTGAAGATGTTTCGCCAGCTTGATGCGTTCATTGCATGTGGGTCCTGGCGCTTGAGGGGGTAAAGGTGAAGATGTTTCGCCAGCTTGGTACGTTTATTGCATGTGGGCCCTGCCGCTTGAGGGGGTAAAGGCTTCTTCCGAAGAAGCTGGAGTTTGAAGATGTTTCGCCAGCTTGATAGGTTTATTGCATGTGGGCCCTGCCGCTTGAGGGGGTAAAGGTTTCTTCCGAAGAAGCTGGAGTTTGAAGATGTTTCGCCAGCTTGATACGTTTATTGCATGTGGGTCCTGCCGCTTGAGGGGGTAAAGGTTTCTTCCGAAGAAGCTGGAGTTTGAAGATGTTTCGCCAGCTTGAAATGTTTATTGCATGTGGGCCCTGCCGCTTAAGGGGGTAAAGGTTTCTTCCGACGAAACTGGAGTTTGAAGATGTTTCGCCAGCTTGAAATGTTTATTGCATGTGGGCCCTGCCGCTTGAGGGGGTAAAGGTTTCTTCCGACGAAGCTGAAGTTTGAAGATGTTTCGCCAGCTTGAAATGTTTATTGCATGTGGGCCCTGCCGCTTGAGGGGGTAAAGGTTTCTTCCGAAGAAGCTGGAGTTTGAAGATGTTTCGCCAGCTTGATACGATTATTGCATGTGGGCCCTGCCGCTTGAGGGGGTAAAGGTTTCTTCCGACGAAGCTGGAGTTTGAAGATGTTTCGCCAGATTGAAATGTTTATTGCATGTGGGGCCTGCCGCTTGAGGGGGTAAAGACTGGAGTTTGAAGATGTTTCGCCAGCTTGATAGGTTTATTGCATGTGGGCCCTGCCGCTTGAGGGGGTAAAGGTTTCTTCCGAAGAAGCTGGAGTTTGAAGATGTTTCGCCAGCTTGATACGTTTATTGCATGTGGGCCCTGCCGCTTGAGGGGGTAAAGGTTTCTTCCGAAGAAGCTGGAGTTTGAAGATGTTTCGCCAGCTTGAAATGTTTATTGCATGTGGGCCCTGCCGCTTGAGGGGGTAAAGGTTTCTTCCGACCAAGCTGGAGTTTGAAGATGTTTCGCCAGCTTGAAATGTTTATTGCATGTGGGCCCTGCCGCTTAAGGGGGTAAAGGTTTCTTCCGACGAAACTGGAGTTTGAAGATGTTTCGCCAGCTTGAAATGTTTATTGCATGTGGGCCCTGCCGCTTGAGGGGGTAAAGGTTTCTTCCGAAGAAGCTGGAGTTTGAAGATGTTTCGCCAGCTTGATACGTTTATTGCATGTGGGCCCTGCCGCTTGAGGGGGTAAAGGTTTCTTCCGACGAAGCTGGAGTTTGAAGATGTTTCGCCAGCTTGAAATGTTTATTGCATGTGGGCCCTGCCGCTTGAGGGGGTAAAGGTTTCTTCCGACGCAGCTGGAGTTTGAAGATGTTTCGTCAGCTGTATTACATTCGGGAACTGCACCTTTAGATGTTGGTTTCTTCCGAAGTCTTACTCTTTGAAGCTGGAGTTCCCAGCTGGTTCGCCAGCTGTGCCTGTGCTACACACTCGTCTTTCGCCCCTAGATTTGCAGGACCGTGTCGCCCGTAAGGGTGGCGGGTCCATCGAGCTCCAGCCCACAGCGAAGTCTCGCTGTCACTGGAGAAGTCGCCAAGCTGAGTCCGTGTCTGCGTTGCCAAGGAAAGCCCAGAAGCGCTCGTCGTGAGGGGCCCAGCAGCTGTCCCAGTCCACCGGCGCGTTCGCGTCCAAAGCTCGTTGCGGTTGCCAACGCCAGCCACGTCTGCCACTCTGTAGTCCAACGTCGTAGGTCACGAGGTCGTGGTCTGCAGGGCCGAGATGTTGAGCTCGGCCGTCCACCGCCAAGCCCGCAGAGGAGAGCCCGAAGTCCAAAAGCCTGCCCGTGTACGTGCCGTCCGCGCGTCTGTGAGTGCCCTGCGTCTCAAAGAACGGGTCGTTGTCCATGGCGTAGACAAGGCCGCCCGCCAAAAGGTTGCAGAAAGGCTGCTGGTTAGGAGTTCGGTTCCAGTCCGCCATGAACACGAAGTCTTCGCCGGTAGTGCTTGCCCATCGAAGCACCGTTGACGCGATGTGCCGGTTGAGCTCCTCGTCATTGGCAGGCAGGTAGCCGCAGATGACGAGGAGTGGCCGCTGGTTGGGGCGGTGGGCCGTTACCGCCATAACGCGAGTGTTGAAGCTCTCCGCCACAGGGACCGTCACCATCTCCACCGGCCAGTCGGAAACGATAGCCACACCACCACAGGCCTTGCCCTCGGAGTCGTAGGCGAGAGGGCCAGGTAGAAGACGCCAGCCCTTCGCGTGAAAAGCTTGCCTCATTGCGTGGAGACCCTCCGTCGTGAGCTTGGTCTCCTGAAGGCAAAGGACATTGACTGCCGCGTTAGCCGCCATATCCATCACTGCCCCCATTTTGCCCGTCAAAGAGCGCACGTTGCAAGTACCCACACGCAGCTTGGGAGACTCAGGCATGTTGCCCCAGTCCCCTCGCCAGCTCGTCGACAGCAGCTTGGTCCTCCGCCGTGCCCCCTCCGTTCTCGCCGATCAACTTCAAGACCGTCGTTGCCGCATCGCCCGCAATGCCCCCGTCCTTCTGGATGCCCTTGAGCTCCGCAACCTTGGCCCGGATGGCTCGCCGCTTGCTCGGCTTGCAGTCCTTGCCCTCCACGTCGCGCTGCCGCGTCCAAGAGCCGCCACACGTCTTGCAGACAAAGCGGACCTCGAAGCGACCTCCCACCAACGGCCATGCCACAGCGCACAGCGCGTGCTTTGCAACAGGGCCCTCGTCCGTCTCCTCCAGCAACTGCAAGAGGTAGCGGACGTCAGACTGCACGCCCTCGTCGAGTGAGCCCTCTTCCAAGCGTCGTTCGCAGCCGCTTGAGAAGAGCGGGGCGCTTCGCACCAGCAGTGTGTGCCTTGCACGAAAAGCCACCAAGCACCACCACAGTAGAAGCCAGGCGTTTGCACCGCTTGCACACGACTTGCGTCACAGCCCTCCTCGTCTTGCCCTTCTTGGTCCCCCTCGTCGGCGGCAGCTTCACGAACACGACGTCGTGCTCTCCAGCCATGCCAGCGCGAACTTGGTGAAGACGCCGAGCAACCCCTGCACTGAGCTTGGCAGTCGTAGCCTTCCGAGCATTTGTGGCCCTGTCTCGCGCCAGGCGGAAAAGGGCTTTAGGGGCCTCCGGGTGAGTCTCCTCTCTGTGTCGCAGTCGGGCCAGCCTCCTCGCGTCTTTGGAAGCTTCTGTAGCTGGCAAGCCCATGTCGCATCCATCAACTGGACACTTCCAACAGCAGGTTGCTTGGTTGTAAAGGACCACACACAGCGCCGCAGTCTTCAGGTTGAGTTCCGCCTTGAGGTCAGGGTGGTAGTTGTCCACGTGGGCTTGCTTTCGCTGCACCCAAAGCCTGCCCGTAGCCTTCCAACCACACTCCGGGCACTTCCAGCCGGAGCGCGCAGACTTCACACACCGCTTGCGCCCTTGCGGCGCCACAGGCTCCGGAGGCTCAGGCACCTCTTCAACTACAGCTTGCTCCTCGGTGGTGGAACCCAGGGAAGAGGTAGCCGTCGTCCGCTGCCCTGTCAAAGCCTCAGTGCCCGCCTTCCTCGCTGCAAACAGGTAGCTGCGGATGTCTTTCGGCCTCGCGGTGAAGCACGTAAATTCCGAAGCTGCCCTGCTCACTTCGCCACTGCCAGAAGCACGCGCCTCGCCCGAACACTGCGCCCTCCTCGTCGGAACGTGCGTAAAGACCGTGGACTCCGCCGCCTCCTGCTTCGCCACGACCACCTCGGTGAAGACCGTCTTCTCGGAGAAGTCGTCGCCACCAGCACCCTGGGAACCGCCGCCACGAGGAAAGTCGGTGACGTGGCCCTCAGCATGGCCCATGCACAGCGCGTCAGGCAAGGTATTGCCTTCAACGGGGCACAACCAATCGAAATGCCCTGGGTTCTCAGTAAACCAAAGAGCGATGCGATCACGAGCGCTGGTGTTGTATGCAGCCTTGGCAAGCCGCATCGGCGCTGGGATGATATGAACCGCAACTTTGTAAGCCTTGGAGGCCCCGTAGGCTTCAAGGCTGCATGCCCATCGTCCGTTCTCAGACATGTGATCAATGTACTCGGCAAAGCTGTCAATTTCATTGCCTAAAGAATCCTGCCCACTCCAAAATGGCTCATACGACGACTGGTGTTTGCGCATATGCGCACAAATCTCTGCACGGACACGGTTGGCAGGCAGGGCGGGCTCGTTGCGGAGCCGCCCCAGGGCCTGACCGATGACAGTATAAAAGCAATTCCCGTCTCGGTCAACGGCCTGCAACTTGACACCATCGGGGATGAGGCGCAACTTCTCCGAAAGAGCCTGCTTCTTGTTGGGGGGCTCCTCAGAGCCACCCTCGCCCTGCTTTGACTCCGGCTTGTTGCCCTGCTGAACAAGCGGCGCCTTGCCGAAGATGAAGGGCTTCCGGTCGATGATGGGTTTGGTAGCCCTCGTAAACCCAGGTCGCGAAGCGAGCATCCAGTAGCTAGTCTCGCCCTCGCCCTCCTTCACGAAAATCTGAAAAGCATCGGCATCAGTGTGGGCCACTTTGGCTTTGATGAGCCAGTGAGCCCTTCCTTTCTTCAATGTCTTTCTGATGACTGCCGCCTCTTCAATGCCCTGGACAAGCATGGAGACCAAGCCATCGCTCCACTCAACAGGTGTGCCTTGCAGCGAAAAGTAGCGCACAAATCCTTTGCCAGAGCTCGCACTTGCCTCAGTGCGCAGGCCGATCTGGCGCTTGCCTATGAAGGCGCCAAAGCGAGGAGCGGCTTCAAGCGATCGCTTGAAAGCCTCCGGCCAGGACTCTTGCGCCTCAGTATCGAACCACTGAACAGTGCAGTCAACGTTGTGGTCTCGCCCTGCAGGCTCCAAGAAGGTGCCATTGACGCCCGAGAAGCTGAGGAGCGTCTCCACCGCCTTGACCGGAACACGAACCAAGCCCACCACAGCCGGGGAGCCCAAGCGAGTCTCTTGGGCGAAGCCCCAAGCGTCCTTGACAACCCCATGCAGATCACTCTTCAAAGTGCCCCGCACCCATCTCTGGACGGCAGCCTTCGGAGCCGAAGAGGCCCTGTCCCAATCTGCTGTTTCCAAGAAAGGCTTGCCGAAGACGATGCGCATGGTAGTCGTGGCTTCGCCTGTGGGAACGGCCTTGGCAGCAGCAGGCGCATGCTTCAACGCGGGCAATGGCGTGCCGGGCGTAAGGAAATCGATATAGGCAAAATGATGAATGCGAACATCGTTGCCGTCCTTGCCCTCCCCAACAATGGGGAGCTTGAGCTTGCCCTCGGAGTCTGCCCAAACCAGTCTGGCTGAGCACTTGGCACCCGCACCTGTAAGCATCATCATCAATGCATCGGCCTGTTCCGCATCCCGCACCTGAACTAACACGGAGCCGTTCAAACTGTTCAGCTGTGAAGCTGCCTTGTCGTAGGAAAAGATTGCGCCATTCCAGTCACGGTCCCGAAGCTGAGGGCGAGCGGGCGCAACCGTGGAAGTCTTCGCAGACTTTCCCTGTCACTTGGGTGTCTGTGGAGCTCCTTTGCCCTTCCCTTTGCCAGGAGAAGCGCCTGCCCCGCTCACCACAGCAGCATGGCTGTTGGCCTTTCCGCCGCCTTTGGTAGGACCCGGCTCGGGCGGATCTGGCTTCTGGCGCCCCCGGCGGCGAACAGTCTGAAACCCATCACTGTCGATCTGGGTGGCATCGCCACCCCCTGCAGCAAAGGACACCCGTCTGGGAGGCGGCTCAACCTCATCAGTGGCCCCACCGGTCATGGTCGCCATCAGGTTTTGAATGCCCGACAGCTGTGACTTGATCGCCGGGTTATCCCCAGCAAGAACCGCTACCATCGACAAAAGAAGCTGGATGATCGTCTGCAAAGCATCCTGAGTCATCTGCTCCCGCCTCTTGTTTGCTGTCGCTGAAGCAGCACCCGGTTCTGGATTAGCAGCTTCGCCGATGCGGACACCCAACAGGCTTGAGTGCGGCCGGCGTCGCCACCAGGAGAATCCAGCGACTGAGTAGAAAAGAAAGGCCCTCACGTAAACACACTGAAAGGATTCAAGGCTGGCAGTGGCCTCGAGTTGATTCTGGTTGCTCCCAGCTGTGACCCATCGCATGACGTACAACCTCAGGCAACGGTCACCCTGGCCAACCTGCAGTGGAGGTGAGTGCTCCTGACCAGCCTTTGCATGCTGATCCCCTTCAGGCCTCATGAAAATGGAAAGCCAGCCTGTCAGCATATCATTGAAAAACATCCCTAGGAAAAGTAGCCCACAGCTCCATAGCCAACATCTGCCACCATTCTGTGGCGCTCTAAGCGCCTCACCCTGCAGACACTTCGCGGGCCCGTGGAGCGCAAAACGGGCCTCCGCAGCAGCCAAGGACTTGTCCAGGGGGCGGTCTGCGTTGCCGCGTAAATAGGATAGGGGCGGCAATGCCACACAGCAACCCTTGCACATAAGATAGAAGCAAAACCACACAGCAAGCCTTGTAAACAGGATAGGGGCGAAGCCACGCAACAATCGTTGCAAACAGGATAGGGGCAACGCCACACAGCTTGCGCTGTAACCAGGTTAAGGGCAATCCCACACAGCAACCGCTGTACTAAGGTAGAGGCCAAACCACACCGCTAGTGCTGTAAACGGGAGAGGGGCGATAGGGGCAAAGCACACAGCAAGCGCTGCAAACAAGCTAGGGGCAATGCCACAGAGCAAGCCGTGTAAACAGGATAGAGGCAAAGCCAACACAACAAGCGTTGTAGACAGGATAGGGGCAACGCCACACAGCAAGCGCCGTAACCAAGATAGGGGACAATGCCATACAGCAACCGCTGTACATATGGTAGAAAAAACCACACCGCAAGCGCTGCAGAAAGGATAGGGGCAGTGCCACACAGCAACCGCTGTGCATAAGATAGAAGCAAAGCCACACAGCAAGTGCTAGACACAGCAACCGCTGCACATAAGATAGACGCAAAACCACACAGCAAGTGCTGTAAACAGGATAGGGGTAGTGCCACACAGCAACCGCTGTACATAGGAATAGACGCAAGACCTCACCGCAAGCGCTGCAAGAAGGATAAGGGCAAAGCCACACATCAAGTGCTGCACATAGCAACCGCTGTGGATAAGATAAAAGCAAAAACACACAGAAAGAGCACTAAACAGGATAGGGAAAATGACACACAGCAACTGCTGCGCATAAGGCATAAGATACAAGCAAAACACAACACAGCAAGCGCTGTACACAAGATAGAGGCAGTGTTGTCACACAGCAAGCGCTGTAATCTGGATAGGGGCGAAGCCACACAGCAAGCACTGTAAGCAGGATAGGGGCAATGCCACAAACCTTGTACATAAGATAGAAGCAAAACGACACCGCAAGCGCTGTAAATAGGATAGGGGCGGCAATGCCACACAGCAACCCTTGCACATAAGATAGAAGCAAAACCACACAGCAAGCCTTGTAAACAGGATAGGGGCGAAGCCACGCAACAATCGTTGCAAACAGGATAGGGGCAACGCCACACAGCTTGCGCTGCAACCAGGTTAGGGGCAATCCCACACAGCAACCGCTGTACTAAGGTAGAGGCCAAACCACACCGCTAGTGCTGTAAACGGGAGAGGGGCGATAGGGGCAAAGCACACAGCAAGCGCTGCAAACAAGCTAGGGGCAATGCCACAGAGCAAGCCGTGTAAACAGGATAGAGGCAAAGCCAGCACAACAAGCGTTGTAGACAGGATAGGGGCAACGCCACACAGCAAGCGCCGTAACCAAGATAGAGGACAATGCCATACAGCAACCGCTGTACATATGGTAGAAAAAAACCACACCGCCAGCGCTGCAGAAAGGATAGGGGCAGTGCCACACAGCAACCGCTGTGCATAAGATAGAAGCAAAGCCACACAGCAAGTGCTAGACACAGCAACCGCTGCACATAAGATAGACGCAAAACCACACAGCAAGTGCTGTAAACAGGATAGGGGTAGTGCCACACAGCAACCGCTGTACATAGGAATAGACGCAAAACCTCACCGCAAGCGTTGCAAGAAGGATAAGGGCAAAGCCACGCAGCAAGTGCTGCACACAGCAACCGCTGTGCATAAGATAAAAGCAAAAACACACAGAAAGCGCACTAAACAGGATAGGGAAAATGACACACAGCAACCGCTGTACATAAGATCAAAGCGAAGCCCAACAGCAAGCGCTGTAAACAGGATAGGGGCAACGCCACACAGCAAGTGCTGTAAACAGCATGGCGGCCATGCCGCTGTACATGAGATAGAGCAGTGCCACACAGCAAGCGCTGCAAACAGGATAGGGGCAATGCCACACAGCAACCGCCCTAAATAGGACAGAAGCAAAGCCATAAAGCAGCTGCTGTAAGCAGGATGGGGGCAATGCCAAGCAGCAACCGCTGCACATAAGGTAGAAGCAAAGCCACACAGCAATCGCTGCAAGCAGGATAGGGGCAATGCCACACAGCAGCCACTATGCATAAGATAGAAGCAAAACCATACAGCAAACGCTGTAAACAGGATAGGGGCAGTCCCACACAGCAACCGCTGTACATAAGATAGAAGGATAAACCATCTGCAGGCGCTGTAAACAGGATAAGGGCAAAGTCATGAAGCAAGCGCTGTAAGCAGGATAAGACAGAAGCAAAACCACACAGCAACCGCTGTACATAAGACAGAAGCGAAACCACACGGCAAGTGCTGTAAACAAGATAAGGGCAAAGCCACACAGCAAGCGCTGCAAACAGGATAGGGGCAATGCCAACCGCTGCACATACGATAGAAGCAAACCACACTGCAAGCGCTGTGAACAGGATAGGGCAAAGCCACGCAGCAAGCGCTATCATCAGGTTAGGGGCAATGCCACGCAGCAACCGTTTTTGCACATATGATGGAATAGAAACCACACAGCAATTGCTGTAAACAGGGTACGGGCCACACAGCAGGCAATGTACATAAGACAGAAGCAGGACCTCACAGCAACCGCTGTGCATAACATAGAAGCAAAGCCACACAGCAAGCACAGCAAACAATGCCACACAGCAGCCGCTGTACATAAGAGAGAAGCAAAACCACCGGTCATCGTCAGTGTAACACGCATGGCGACGTGGGGCCTATTTTGACAGCTTCAGCTGGTTATGACCGTACGTGGGCAGGGAGGACAAGTGCTCGGTGACGTGCTGGCAAATTTGGGTCCAGTTCTGGCAGCCTCAGAAGGCAATAGGCAGATTTGTGCAGTGTGGCAGATGGTCAGCTCGTCTGCTTTGGAGACAACACTTGTAACAGTGCGACGTGCCACCAGACGCGGGATTACCCGGAGCGCAATTGCCATAGTCCCGGCAGATTTGGCATGAGCTTAGTGGTCACTGTCATACTTGTGCTGCTGCCCTATGCGCCTGGTGTCACGACCTTCATGTTCTAGTTGGGACCAGACAAATCATGCGAGTCTGCCGTGTGCTCCAGGTCAGAACAAAGGGACCAACTTCTGCCACACATATATCCGGGCCAACTGAGTAAGCCGCGATCACGAAATTCTGGTTTATTCTTAGCCAAATGTCAAAGCCCTCTGCCTCGTACCCAGCCAGTGGGGGTGGCAGCGGCAGCCATTTACTCACCGATGAGATCCTGTGAAAGCATTCGTCCGTTCGGTTGGTTTGACGTTCATTCTGGCTCAAGAGTGTAGGCAAGAGGAGCGCGGTTCCTATCTCACTCATGTTCATGGCAAGCCTCCTCAGACAGCAACACCGTGATTGAGATTAGCCAGGGGGTTCTGCCCTGCTGGGGCTGCGCTTGCTCGATGGGAGGTTCGTGCTTGCGGCTGCTAGTGATACCTTTGTATGGAGGTTTGGTGATTAGCACGAAATGTTTCATGCCTAGGTGCTTCGGAAAAGGGCGCTCCCCGATTCAGCGCATTACCTCTCATTGCCATGGAGAAGGTCCTTTCAAGGCACTGCTTTCTCCACGGCTTCGCTCTTGCTATTGCATGGATTGCTGCCGGACATCAGGTATCCGATTGCAGCAAAGTGGAGGGTTGCCCATCCTTTCGCAGGCTCTCCTCGGATGGATGGTTGCACAGCTTCCAGGCAGGCAGAACTGGAATTCCTGGGACCGAAATTGTGCAGCTCGTAAGCCATAAGGGCTCCCTCTTCGCTTCGGTTGGCTACTGGATGCATCCATCTCACCACCCAGGTCGGATTCTACGTTTGGATTGTCCAACTTGCGAATGGGAGATGGAACACCCAGAAGAAGGCAATGTGTACATGAGCTATGTCGTACGCCTCGAATGTCTGAAGTCAGTCACATGGACGTCCACCCTCTCAAACCCTGTGCCAACGCAGAGTGGCACTGATGAGCTCTTGCATGCCACAGGTTACCTGGACTGGCTGGGAGAAGCTCATTGCGTCTTTTGCACTCGCAACGATGCCACAAAGCTTTGGGCATGCAACCCGTTCTACAAAAGCACTCCCTTTACAGAGAACGGCTTCACTGGGCGGTCCATGATCCATTACAAGGACCCCATCACCGGGATGGAGCAGATCATCCTTCCGACAGGAAAGGATGGCGTGACTCGGGGCCATTACGATCCGAACAGCCCTGTCCGTGTGTCGTTCGATTATCATATCGAGCCTGGCACAGAAAATCTTCCACAGCGGCCACTCGCAGTAGCTGAAATGGGTGGTCATGTGTACATGGCTGTTGGCCCACTCCTCATGAAGCGATCACAAGGAAAGACGGATGCAACGTGGACTACGGTTCTCGATATGTTGCAACATGACACTGGGGTCACACAGACGGATGAGGCCGTTGGCGGACTCCGCGGTCTCACTGCAATTGACAATCCCGCAAGTACCACAGGTAAATCATTGCTGGTGGCATGGAACCCAAATGGACGCTCACAAGGTTGCATATACCGGTTAGATCCGAAGACAGACGCCGATGGCTTCGACGTGGCCCTCGAGAAATGTGTCAAACAAATTATGAGGGAGAGTTACGACCCAAATGGGAAGTTTCCTTATGCTCTTGCAGCCTACAACGACATCTTAGCAGTGCCCGCAAGGAACGGCGGAGTTGTTCATCTCATTGGCTTCATGGTGCTTCTATGGGGTCCCACCGCCCATTCCCTTCCTGCGAATCCTGGCCAATGGAACTTGGACGAGACTTCGGGCAAGGGGGGAAGTTATTGGGCAGGTGGTGGTTACATGATTCGCCGGTCGACTTCAGACTATGAGGCTCGCGAAATCGGTGGAAGGAGATGCAGCCCAGACCAAGCAGATCCAGTGCTAACATCAGTTCGAGCATATGCTTTGTCCCCATTTCCCGAACGGAAGGGTGTTTACTTCGGTGGCTACGACTGCAATTTCTTTTCGTCGAGCAACACTGCTTGGATCTTCTGGGGCTCAGACTGCGCCACACATGACGATCCAGAAGTCGCAGCTCCGGGCTGCGCGCAGCCTTCCCAACAAAGATCCAGCTGCACGGCAATTTCCGCAACCACAACTGCAACTGCACCAGACCAGACGCCTGCAGAGGGAGGCAACACTACGACTATGATAACTGCAAGTACAGACCAGTCGACAAGTCCGCCGACGAGCACATCTCAAGTCGGCGACACCTCGCATGCAGAGGGAGGCAACATGACGGCCACGACAGGCACCCCTCAGGGTCAGGACGGTCAGGTCAGTAGCAGCTCGCGGCGACAGTCTTGCCTCTACGTCCTTTCCTGCGTTCTGCTACATTGCCAGTGTTTGCTTATGGGACTGTAGCTGCCAAGTTGCACATCAACGTGCATGGAAGTAACAAGTGGGGCCAGAGATTTGATTCGGACTCTGAGGGCTTTTCGCCTAGGTGCCGAAGGCACGGAGCTGTCCCTAAGAGCAGAACAGGCCTGGCATCCGGATTCTAGCGCTTGCGTACCGTGAAATTTCTGTTGCATCGAATCAGGGGCCAACACAGCATCATCGTGTCTCTGATACGGCCGGGTGACTTTCCACTTCGGAGGTGAAGTGCTGATACTACTTCGGAACTAGGAATTACATATATATATATATATATGTGTGTGTGTGTGTATGTGTGTATATATGTATATATATATATATATACAGACAGAAAGCATCACCCTCAGGGCCCGGTTTTGTCGTGTTCGTAAAGAACCGACTTTTAAGTGTTGTCTTAAAGAAATGGTCACAATCAAAATGAACGGCCCCGAACGGCGTCTGATAAAGCAAGAGCGTGGAGCTTATACGGGAAGAAAGGACTGCCTTCCACCCGTTGTGCTCTTGCCCACGGCCTTCGGGAAGGGGGGGAGGGAGGCGAGGCCAGAACCCAAAAAACATATACATATTTTTGTTTTTTATTTGTATGTTTTTGGCCAAGATCCCGGTTGGGCTACCTCAAGTCTTGTGGCTTTGATGTCAAGATGCCGGTTGGGGTACCTCATGTTTTGCGGCCTTGTGGTCAAGATCCCGGCTATTGAGGTACCTCAAGTTTTGTGGCTTCGTGGTCAATATCCCGGTTGGGATACATCAAGCTTGGTGGCCTCGTGGCCAAGATCCCCGGTTGGGGTACCACAAGTTTTGTGGCATCGTGGTCAAGATCCCGATTGGTATATCTCAAGTTTCGTGGCTTCGTGCTCAGTATCCCGGTTGGGCTACCTCAAGATTTGTGGCGTTTTCTGGCTTGGTGTTTGAGATCCAGGTTGTGATACCTCAAGTCTTGTGGTGTTTTCTGTTCAAGATACCGATTGGGATTCTTCAAGTCTTGTGGCTTCGCAGTCAAGATCTCGGTTAGGATACCTCAAGTTTTGTGACTTCGTGATCAAGATTGGGGTGCCTCAAATGTTGCGCCTTCGTGCTCAAGATCCCGGTTGGGGTACCTCAAGTTTTGTGGTTTCGTGACCAAAATCCCGGTTGGGGTACCTCAAGTTTTGCGGCTTCGTGGCCAAGATGCTGGTTGCGGTACCTCAAGTATTGTGACGTCGTGGTCAAGATAGCGGTTGGGATACCACCAGTTTTTGTGCCTTCGTGGTCGAGATACCAGTTGGGATATCTCAAGTTTTGGGGCTTCGTGGCCAAGATTCCGCTTGGGACAAGTTTTGTGGCTTCGTGGTTAGGATCCCGGTGAAGATACACCAAACTTTGTGGCTTCTCAGTCAAGACCCCGGTTGGGATTCCTCAAGTTTTGTGGCTTCGTGGTCAAGATCCCGGTTGGGGTACCTGAAATTTTGTGGCTTTGTGCTCAAGATGCCTGTTGGGATGTCTCAAGTTTTGGGGCTTCGTAGTCAAGACCCCGGATGGGGTACCTGAAGTTTTG